TGGCTTTGACAAACAGCAAGATACTCAGAAGGACAGCTATAATGAGAGTCAAGGAGTTAACTTATTATCATTCTCCAGTTATATAGCTTCTGTTAAATGCCCCTGCAGAGAACATGGGCACTAAAACTCTCTATCAGGGTATTAGGTCCAGGTGCATGTGGGCAATTGAAGCTACTAACCCAGCCATCTCCTTCCTTGAATAAGTGGGCTGGGAGGGATGGAGGATGGGCAGAACTCTCAGGACCAAATCCACTCACTTGACTAACCTAACATGGCTGGTACATGCCAAAAGTGACCTTTGCAGGAGCAACATATGAATCAGAAACAAGTTCATGAAGCACAGGATCTCTGGTGTTTTTTACTGTGCTAAACCTAGAGCTGTTCCTAATCTAGCTCGATGACTGATAAAGTGATAGTTGTTCAAGACAAGATAATACTTTAAATGGATTCCAGTGAACTTGTAATCGCATTTTTCATTCCAGAATATTTCTTTCTGAGGCATGTCCACCCACTTGACGTATACTGGGCTTTGTTATAATCTGACTACCTGGCTATACCTCTGGTACTATGAAGTCTGATAAGAAATGAACATTTTCATGTAGCCAAGTCTTGGAAGCTGTTAAGCTACACGTTAAGTCTGAGCCTTTCCTCTGTAGTCCTCCCCCTACCTCTCACACTCCTGCCAGAATTCACACTCTTGCTAGAATTCACGTGTTCCGTAAACAAAAAGCATATTAAATGAAAGATGAGCCATCGTTCAGCCCGTAGTGCAGTTTTCCCCATACTGTGCCTGCTTTCTTGACCACTGGGATCTGAGGTTTGCCAAATGTCAGCCCTGGTGCAACAGTCATGCTAGTCAGAAACTTCTGTGTCTTGGAGAAAGCTGCTTCTCTGTGATTACCATAATGCCAGAGAATAATTGATTTGTCAAACTGCACTTCTTTCCATGTGGGTGTTTGCTCTTCTCTGTTTACATGAGGGAGAAAAATTTTACACCTCTGATTAGTTCTTTATAAGCAGAATCCTCAGGCCAGACTTCCATTAATTTAGACTGAAGTTAGACCTAAGCACAAAACATACTTTGATTTGTGAGCTTCTCAGCTGAGATATAAATGATGAAGGTTACTGATTTAGCTAGGAATTCAGGCAGCCTCACAAACACCAGAGAACAGCCCCTCGCTTGTTAGACTTGCTACAGACATTTCAGTGCTTTGTCACTGGACTCAGCCCATGAGTTGCAGTAGAGTATGGAGGTTCACACTCCTTACGGACCAACGCGGCCAGTGTGAGTGACAGCGAAAACTTCTGGTTTAAAGTCTCAGCTATTGTACAGTTACCTCAGTGAGTCACCAGGTTTGTGTCTTCAGCTACAGTATGAGTAAAATGTGCCTAAATGTTTTAGGAAAGCTAATTATGTGAAACATCAGCTGATAGAAATTAAGGGAATATTTTTGTCTTCAAGCCAATATTTCTTGCTATTTCAACTTTGCCATAAGATATTACACATTATAAACTTTTTGCTCACTAGGCTAAGCATAAATATTCAAGAACACTATGCCAATTCTCATGGTACTGACACAGAAATCTGGTGACAGCCTCAGGGGATTTCAATATAAGCAGCAGCATTTTACTTCCAACTTGATGGGCCAGCAGGGTCTGCAAATCCTGCAAACATGCTCAGGTCCTGTGAAAGGGAACATTTTGTTTGTAGTGAGACCCTATGACCCTATTTCTGGCATAAGGTTTATGCCAGAAATTAAATAAGATGACTGCAAAGCTTTTGGGAACAGTAATATGGTAGACCTCAGAATATTTGCACCACAGACAACCATAGCTATCCCCGCTGTTTGAAAGAACTCTATTCAATTCTTAACAATTGCAGGCTGGGGTTTATCAAAACCCAGAATCCAGGAAGACAAATAACAAATACATTTCACAGTGTTCTCTAAAATAGGCAATTCTAAGACATGGTATGTCTCATGGGTGGGGAGACAACAGTACTCATTCAAATAACCAGAAAGTATTATTTTTTCAGTATAAGAATCAAATATTAAGCTTTTTCATTGCTTTTCTTTTTCTTGACTTTGCAAATTATATAGCTAGTGGAGGGTGACATACAGAAGTTGGTCAAAAAATGCAAACTCCAGTTTTAGCTGCAACATCAATTATTTTAGATTTTGGGCTACTCAGGTCCCCAAGGAATAAAGCAGTGATAATAAACCATTCCACAATGAAGAACATGCCAGTGTACTATATTGCACAATACGCAATGCATTGTAGCATATACACTCTTACACACTGAAAACTGCTTGATTTTACACAGCCACTAGCTCCTAAGCCTTTTATTATGAATCACAATTCTTCACCTTAGATACAATACTGATTTTATTAAATCTGAGTATGTTTATAATTTTGCCAGTGTACAGGAACTGTCAGTTAAATATCAGGATACTTAACAGGATGAAATTCAGAAGCTGTGCTGCAGATATCAAATTATCCAGGTTAACTTTGTAAGTAATTAATGTTTATAAGTCCTTGTAAGTAATTAATGCTTATAATTAGTTAACAGAGATTTTTTTTCATTTAAACCTAGCCTGCTTTATAAATTCCAGTACTTCTTTCTCAGAGAATTGACCAGGCAGAGTAAATCCTACCTATTTCTGACACCTTCTTCCTCCCTTGAACTATTTTAGCACTAGAGCTGGTACTTGGAGGATGGCTGATGTATTTTGAACTACCATACATTTTAAACACAGGGCCAGCTCTCTATGAGAAGCCTCAGGGATGTTAAGGCTATCTTGTGCTATGTAAAAATAGGCTTAAGTATAAGCAGCATAACAAAGTATAAAAGCCTGACTCTTTCTGATTGCCAATATATTATGGCAATCTTCCTTCAGGCCCTGGCAGGGCAACAGGCTACAGATCACAGCAAATTATCAACATGCAAAATAGTTTTCATGGATCATGGTTTCTTTTGAATAAGATATTCAAACAGTTTTTTGCAACTAATGAAAGTTTATCGTCAGACTAAACATTATCAGATAATATGATCTCACCACTGGTCCCTGAAAAAGTCTCTGTTGAGGTAATTCTTATCTTCCAGTGGCTAAAATAAAAGTGTATGTTTCTCTTTCATGAATAGTGAAATGTCAAACAGAACTCTAGGAGTTTCCAAAGCAATAATGCACTGCAGACTAGTGTGTTGGTTTGGTTAAGTGGTCTCACATAATCTATCTGTATCCTACATCATGAAAACATTTATTCTAATTTTGCTTATGGAAGTAGAAACTTCTGATTGTTAACTTCACTTTGAATTTGTTCTAAGCTCTCCACTGTCTGCAGAGAAAGCAGCTTCTGGTGAAGATATTCAGAATTTGATTCAGAATGTTGGAGAATCCAAGCTAGAGAAAAAGAATGAGAGATAAGAATTAGCTGTATAAGTAAAGACTGATGTTAATGTCAGTCCTGGTCTATGGCATCTGCCAATAGAAAGTAAGGTTCATTCATATGAATACAAAGTACTGAAGCTTTCAAAATATCCTTCTTAAATGAACAGATTCTTTGCCTTAAAAAATACAATGGGAGAAAGAGGGAATGTGCCTTTTAGGTGTCTTCAACAGAAAAATAGAAAATTATGTTTAGGAAGAAGATGGACATGCAGAAAAACGGATTATTGTTTGGAACTAGATGATCTTAAGGTCCTTTCCGAGCCTAACTATTCTATGGTTCTATGATAGACACTCATGTGAACTACTTCCCACATCAGTCACAGGCACTGTTTGATTTGTGTACAGCCCAGGATCACAGCTGAGAAAGGATGCAGGTAACGCAGTCTCTAATTATTCTCAGCAGCACTCTGAAGAAGTAGTTGAAAAATTAAGCCATGCATCACTTTGAGAAGCAGGAGCACAGAATTCCTTTAGCATGCATTTCTGTAAGATGCCTATGGTTGCAGCTGCACTACAGCAGGTAGATTTTACTTAGATTCACATTTGCAGCATTTGTGGATGATTTCAGAAGTCCTGGGGGAGCATGGAGGAAGGCATTTCTTAACTTCTGGGGATCCTCAATTCACTCAATTTTCTAAAAAGGTGAGAAGGCCCAAGATGAATGGTCAGGATGTGATCTCTATACAGTTTGAACACTTTCTGGTTATTATCAAGAAATCAGATTACTTGATAAGAAAGTCGAAAAGAGGTGATAAAAAATGGCTACAGACATAGACTGCTAGAGTATGGCCCAAACAATTGTCACAATTAATGCAGGGAAGCTTATATTACTTAGATTTCTTGTTTCACTATGAACAAATTGAAGAGCAAGTTGGTCAGAAACAAGAACTCAGTGGGTTAGAACTGCACTCAGAGAAATGCATAACCTGTTGCTTGGTATTCCCTTCACCAAATAAATAATAAACCTGTGATGACAGACTGAGCAAATGGAAGCTCTCAAGAGACAGGAAAGGGCAGGGACAGTTCGGTGAAAGCTGGTTGTCTCGACCCTTTAGGCATCCATCTGTGACTAAGGAAACTCCAATAGCAGCCTGACAATAGAGTGCACTACTAGCAGAGCCACTGGTGGAGTGATGAAGGGAAGTGTGCATGATCTTGAGATCACTGAGACTGCAGAATAAAAGGGCTGCCTGTGAGCACAAGAGTTAAAGGTGGAATCAATACTCTTGCAAACTTAATAGCTCAGAGACATCAACAGCATGCAGCTCTACAGCAAAGCATTTCAGAGATGCTGTTACTTTGTTACAAGCAGAAGAAACTGACTGGCACATTTTTAGAAGACCACAGAAGAGATCGGCTATTCAGTGCTTATATATTTGTTTGGAGAGCTAATCCTCCATGCTAGGATGCTGGCTGTCTCTGCAGCATTTTTAACCTTCACCAGCCAAGGAACTTGCAGTCCTTGTGGCACCTGACCAACTTCACAGCCAGGATTAGCAAAAAAAAATGCACAATTGTGCTGCCTTTTTTTTTTTTTTCCCCTCTCCCACATGGCAATGTTCTTAAAGAAATCCAAAAAGAGGTGCAAAGTAAGCAGTTCTTCCCTTTAGATCATCAAATTTGTCCATGTTTTAGGCAGAACTGGTATAATGCCTTATGAAGAACTTTTCAGTTAGTGCATTAATGTTCCCATTCAGAGCAAAATTTATTAAGTCAAATATACGTAGTCAGACAGTTTCCAGCAGGGAAAGGCTTAAAATAATAACCCAAAGCAGTTATTCACCCTGTGTTCTGCTAGCAAAGACTAGTGGACCTGCAGTGGCTATGTAGAAAACCTTGTTAGCAGACGATCAGAGATAATCAGAGAAAGACTGGGCATTTAAAACCAGATTGCATCCAAACTCAAGGGGGGTTATTGCTTGACAGTTACTTCCTCCTGATGTTAATGCATACTTTAGTTAATTCCGGCATTCAGAACAGCTATCAAGGTACTGCATCATTCTAACCACCTCTGCTACAAGCCATCCAGATCAGCTGCCTGCTACTCTCACCTCTTTCCTCACAAATGCTGGATGACAGTGAGGAGTTGATTGTGATGGGTGACTGGCCAGCATCATTTTGTACAGTAGGAGCTAGACAGGAAGAAAGCAGAGTGCAATGCTTATGATCATACATGCAAATGTAAGTCAGCTTTCAAAAACATAAACCCAAAGATTATTCTTTTTTTTTTTTTTTAAAGAGGGAGACTGCAGTAGCACCTGGACACCTGAAAAAGGCTTGACTCAAACCTACGGTTCTGCACTGAGGATTAATGACACTTGCTTAACGAAATGGTCTGGATGCAAGTTTTTTTCACTGGTGCAATATGTTCTGACTATCACTCACCTTGAATGAGGAGACTAAAAATGCTTTGCTAAATGGTTTGAAACACTGCCCAGTTTCACCGGCTTTGTTCTTCTAAGTGTTTTTACCTCTTGCTTCAGCTGGAACGCTATTTCATCATGTCTTAAAACAATGCTTTGCAGAGAGCTGCAGTATAACAAGCTATAAAGTGAAGCATGTGGCCTACCCAGACAACAGAGAGTAGTCTTAACAGAAAGTGCTTTTTTCCCTTTTGTGGACAAACATTACAACACAGCACATTTACCCAGCACAATGTTACCTTTACTTCCTAAAGGCATGTTTGATGCTTTCTCAGGTTTTCTTTTTTCCTCTCTAGTGCAGGCTGGTAGAGCAGAGGCTTGTTTTCTCCTGGATCTCATACTTTTTTACACTAGTGACTTCTGGTGCCATTTATGGTAATCAACCTGCTCAGCAAGTTCCCTCCAGCTACAGGTTAGCACATTCACAAGCCTCTGAGGGAAACCAGTCTCATTCCTAGCAAGCAGCTACAACTTCTCTCCCAAGTTCCTGTAACGTTTTGTCAGCCACAGATTTATTCAACATGTTCAGTGGTGAGTCCTCATCCACTTGTGGGATCAAAGATGTTTGGGAGATCTTTGGGTTTGAGTCCTCTGTAGTGGTTTTACACATGGAGTGACAAGACACATCACAAAACTGAGTGGGTTTTTGTTTTCTTGTCATTTTATTGTTTAAGAAACTGTCTTCATGCCTTTTTTATACTCATCTGTACAGATGGCACTCCTGCCTTCAATTGGGCTGAGGAGAAAGAAAAGCTGTATCAAGCGAGAGCAGTGACAGTTAACACAGAAAAGAGACCTGTTAGCTTTGTGGCCTGAAACATATATGGACAGGCTGGCAGTGCTCCCTTTCACAGTTGAGACTGAGCCACATTTCCTCCCAAGAAGCCTCCCAGCTCAAGCTCAGAAATACCTGTGCAGAGCAGCACCAGGAGATTTAGTGCAGGCACTGCCAAACCAGTGAGCCTCTGCACTGACAGTGTATGCTTTAGATTATGCCTGCTGAAGTGCACTGTAATGTAACATGCTGATTGGTTTCTTCTCTCCTGTGTAAAACCATTTTCTCTTGCCTCCATAAAATGGTAATCAAATAAATCCGAAGCTTTGCCTTTTTGACGTGACATGCAAAAGACCTTTAGATGTAATAAAATTTTTGAGTGTCTAAAGAAGCCTTCTCCAGCAACTGCTGATTTTACATACCCCATTTTCTGTTTGTTTTTTTTTTTTTGCGGGGGGTTCAGTTTGAGAACACTGATCTTCCATAATTGTGAGAGGACAATCTTTATTTTAGTTTAACTGGAGGACTGCCAATGTGAAAAATTTATTAACAAGATTTTAGGAATTTTAAAATCTAAAATACAAAGAAATTTTACCAAAAAGAAGTCTTACTCCTCAAGTCTCTAACCACACACAAGTTTAGCTGTGACCGCATGGTTACCTTGCTCCAGTTTCAGTGGTAGCTTCTTACACTCTTGAAGTAATGTGCACATAAACATATTCATAGATGGAAACAGCCTGGAATAAATTTCTGAAATTCAGAAGCAAGGTAGGCAAAACAAACAAACAAACAAAAATCCCAACAAAAAACCAAACCAGTTTAAAGCAAATGGGATGAAACCTGAATTTAAAACCCAGTTATCCACAGAAGTCACACCCCAGAGGAATGCTGTGAACACCAGCTCCAAATTCATTAGTCAGTAGACATGAACTTCATGAAATACACACGCCTCTGCACCTGCCAATGTTTCCGTTGTTCAGTTCATGCCAAAACAGTGAACAAGGTTATTATGTGGCATTCTTTAACTAACTGCTCACAGTTTGTATATTAAATATATTAAACTCATGAAATGCTGACAGCAGAAGTGAACATCAGGTTCTACACCTCAGAGAATTAGGTATAGGACACTGTCACCTTCTCACTTGTCTCCCTCTGCTCTCACTGCATGGCAGGGTGCCAGTTCTGGTCATGTGCCTCCCCCATCTCTCCTGTCCTGCCTTGGACACATCTACCTTGGGACTTCTTTTTGTACCTTCTCTGGAAAACTAGTTGACAGAAACTTCCCTGCTCTCACCACTACTGGTGTCACACTATTTATTACCTGGGAGTAAAGCCAGCGGGAAGATCTGCAGTGAAATATGAAGAGAATTATGGTATCTTCTTGCCTTTCTCTTTAGTTCTAGTTTCCATCTACAACAAAATGAATGTTTCCAATATAAGATTGGAAGAGGTGTTCAGGGAAAGAGGAAAGTAGAATGCACTATATATAAAAGAAATAACCTGGTCAAAGAAATACACAGGTCCTGCCTCCAGTGCTGCAGCTGTAAGCATTGCTTCTATTACTCCCTAGAATGAAGAAGGAATAGAAGACCCCATAGGAAAATAGTTATGTCAGCAGGCTCTGAGAAAGAAACAGTTTATGTTTTTTTACACTAACAATGAAGCTGAGGAATTACTTTCTGTATGGGGCCTTGAGAATCTGCTTCAAATAATACAAGAACCAGCACTACGTGAATGGGAATACATTAATGCATCTGAGGATTAGATTATATGAAGTTGATTATAAACCTGAAGACCAAAATACCAGGTTTTGATCTTTTAGGTTCATACTACTCTAAACTAGTGTTTTCATGAGATAAGGCCTACAATTATTTCTGAGAATAGGCAATGTCTCAGTTTGTTATCTGAAAAAGACCACTGCTTTCATCTGCAGTTACGACCCAGTGAGTACATCAATAAATGTGCTTTTACTTAAAAAAAAGGGTTTATGACTATGATAAATATAAAAAAATTATTTGAAATATACCAGTGTGGGGACCTTTGTGCAACCTTCCACCCCCCCACCCCCTACAAAGACTGCACACAGGCACAGAGGTATACTCTGAGAGAGATGCTCACTGTAGCACATCCTCCTGCACATATCTGCATATATGCCTAATGCACTAGTTCCTAATCACAGAAATACAGAGTCTTTTTGAAGCACTGGTCCAGATAATGGTTTGTTCAGTTTATGTGAACCTTGTAACTTAAAAGCAATCTTAAAAATGAGCTTCAGAGGACTTACTTTTCAATTTCACAGCATGAATCTATTCATGTGTACTGAAAAGCACTTGCTTTGTCCCAGTCTGAATGCCCAAACAGCAGTCTGTGCTTCTCAAGGTGACTTTCAGCAGCAAGAGAGATGAAACTTGCTTCTTTCTGGAAGCACTCATTGCATCCTTTGAAAACCTGTCCTCCAAAGGACACAGATGTTGTGACACTAGCTGATAAGAGCCAATATGTTTGGTTTAGGGATGACAGGCTGTAATCTAACTAGTGTTTGGTTAAAAAAATAAATAAAAAATTGCTAAGGAGTGTGGAAAGAAGTTCACAGCAAATAGGGTTAAATGTGGGTTTTTTTGGCTGCTTTTGTCACCTCTAACTTCGATTTAGCTACTTCATCTAGATTTTAAATATCATCTTAAAGAAGGTTTCAGAATTAGGGAACCCTTTACCCTGCTCATTTTAATGAAGATACTTTGAGGTTACAGCTATCATTCCCATAGTAAATGGTATGGGTGTTGACGGCTGAGGAAATACAAATGTCCTCTGTTCTCAGCAATTGGCGAGGTGAAGTATCTCTTCTTCTAAAGTTCGTAAGACATATTTGATCTCACACAAGAAACATTTTCTTTGTCTACATCCAGACGTTTGGCCTGATATTCTAGTCACAGAAACTGTCCTATCGACTTCAGTGGATTTTTAGAGCTGAGTACAGGCTATGAGACTCAGGCTATGAGATTTAGCCCTAAAATAGGAAAAAAAGAGTATTAAAGTGTCATAAACACACAAACAAGGGCATCGGTCCCAGAAATAAAAACAGAAACAAATACAATATCCCTCTGATCAACTTGGGACTGATACACCCCTTACTCCCTAGTCATCCTTCCTCCCCCTCTTTCCAAGATAAAACTGCAGCTGTCAGAAACAGCTCCTCCACTCTGTTCCATGCCATTTCTTGATGCATACAGCTTGATAAGAAAACAGAAAACATAACATACCCTGAAAAAAGTCTTTTCCTGAAGATCATAACTTCTTATGCTAGGAACACATTGCAATGGGAGTTGCCTCCTTGGAAAAAAAAGAAGAGGTGAATCTCTGTTTTAAGAGTTTTAAGTCCTGCTGCTTAGTTAACCACGTTGTGGACTGCATTCAGCTCTTCCCACAGCTCCCCAGCCACTGCCTGCCTTTGTCCCCAAGGCTGCTTAGGAAATAGGAATAATCACTGTGAGGAAACAAAAAACCCCAGTATTACTCTCCAGCTAAAGATGGTATTCACATGACTCTTCTGGCCCATGGCCTGTCTGATACTGTCTTCTTATCATGCTGCCTAGTACAGCATGAAATTGAAAAACCTAGCATTCATTAACATAATGTGTATTAAGTGCTAGGAACAGCTGACTGGCAATAACAGAAGAAGGACAAAAAGATCTGAGCTGGTAAGGGCATGCTACAAGGTGTGACTCTCTGCTTCTAAGAGACCAGATACTCTTAAAGGCAGACAGGTGGGGAACGTGGAATCCAGACGTCAGGCTGCTGATGTTACTGTTCGCTTTGTTAATATAGTCAGTCCAGCTGTTTGCTCCCACTTTTTTTTCACACAGCATTCCTATTTTTGCATCTTAGTTACCATGCTATTATCCTGTTAGATACCTGTACTCTCTTGTATTGAGCATAAAGCTAATTCCAGGTCTAGACGTACTGTAACCTGGAAGGTGCTTAACGTTGCTCCATCCAATGTGCCACCTTCTCTGCAAAACTTACGAACAGCTTACATAATGCTTCTGGGTTCAGCTAACAGCACCTCAACCTGCAGAGACACATTGTTAATCCTGCCTCTTCTACCTCACTGCTGGTTTTCTTTTCACTCTGCTAGGTTTCATACATATTCTTTGTTAAGTGAAGTGTGACCCCTGTCTACAATTTCTTTACAGACTACTTTAAGGGAAGGAGGCTTATATAAATGTTCAATTTCATCCATATTTGGCAGAATAGCACACCCAAAGATAATTACGCCTGAACACACTTTGTGAAAATACGTAGCTAAGTATATGACAGAGGCCCAAGGAAGTATCCCCACCTGAAGAGAGGCAGACCAAACTCCGCTGAACTGTGCTGGCCAACTGCACACATACTAATACAGTACAAGCCATCTCTCTCGCTCCATTGAGGTATCACAGTGATTACAAATGGTGCTGGAGTCATTCTGGGGAAGAAAGAAACAACTTTCTGAGAAAAATGGCTTCACTAATTCAGCTGATTACAGAAATACTTGTTCTGCTTGTTGCCTTTTTTCCTCTGATGCCCTTATTTCTCATGTCTGCAGTCTTTGCACCACATGCATTCTTACCTGCCTTATTTTTCCTTTATCTATTTCTGGTCAGTATTTCTCCCTCCATATCCCCTTGAGGTTCTGTAGACTTTATGCCCTACTTTATCTATGACTTCAGTTCTAGAGTCAACGAAATCCATAGCCTGGCAACTTGTTTGTTTTGGCACACAGCAGAGCGGAAGGACCAGGAACACGAGCTTGTAGCTCTCTTCTTCAATCTGTCAAAGGCATCAAATATAGTGAGGGGTAAGAATAGGCTGGTATATGAGAGGCTAACAGATTAAAATCAAACACATAACTAGAAACACTGCTATATAACTCTCTAGACCATTACAGTGCCCAGTTACCATAAATGTACAACAAAATGGTCAAAGATAACTCAAAACGGAGAATTCAGGGAATATGCTCCCTGATGTATTGTCATCTCTGCCCCTGCCAACCACAGAAAAAATCCAAACTGAACAGATTTTTATAGTCCTCTTCTACCTAATTACAAAACTGGAATGGAAAGGAATAAAGAAAAAGTGTCTCAGGCAACATTAATGCACATAACCTTTGTGTCATCTGTTCTCAGTACGAGAAGAGCTATTTCTCTGTGGCTCTCTTCAGCAGCTTCAGACATCAATTCTGACTGGAGTAAGGGCAACAGAACAGCAGAAACACAGAAGAGTTGAATGGCTCACCTGTTCTATTGTGAAAAGTTTATTCTGCTTTACACATAGTAATAGGACCCTCCTACAGGTGGTCCAGTAGCATTAATGGACACTAGCATATAAAAACCATGGTTTAAAGGAGGAATAAGTGGTAATACTGCAATTCCCAACTGCTGGGGCGTGTCTCACTGCTCTGACCATGCCTTAAAATCCAGAGGAGTCAACTTCCCAGCCCCCATCCCACTACCATGAAAGGCACAGCTAGATGTTTCCATGTTTGATTGTTCTTAGAAGCTGAAGCACTGGAGAACATACCACTGTGACACTTGCACAAAGCACGATGGAGTTTGTTTGATCAGTACTAGAGCATGAGCTTAGTCTTCTGAAGTCTTGTGCTTGCTCAGAACTGTCCGGGGGGGCAGAATTTGTACCTTAGTGAGGTACAAGGCATCATACCCAAGGTACAAAGCATCTTTCCCAAGCAAAGACCTGGCTGCAGAAGCATTTTAAAACATGGCTATGCAGAATAAGGTCCATTTATAACCGGTGTATATTACAAACTATCATGACACTATATTATACTATATACTATAAATACATCTCAGGCAAGAGTTGTTAAAATATGCCAGTAAGGAAGGGGAGGGGAAAAAAAAGTATTTTTAGCCATCACAATTATACTCGTAGAAGGCCTGTGAAAAGTGTGAACTTGGTAGAGGAACTTTAAGAATTAAGCTGATTTAATAAGCCATAGTGGTATTTCTCCTTGGTTTTCTAGGTAGTGATGGAAAAGGGACAAGGAAGAGCCATTTGCCATGTATTATACTTTGGTTTTTGCTCCATGGGACTTGGAATACATTTTTTTTTCCTGATATTATTTTCCTTCTGTGCAAGTTACCTCTCACAGAACCACAGAATCGTTTGGGTTGGAAGGGACGTCAAAGATCATGCAGTTCCAACCCCCCTGCCATGAGCATGTGACTGTTCATTTGTTCAGTGTTCTCTAGCTGTAAAATCTGAAATGGTGCATGAATTTCATGGCAGCTGTTCCTGCTGGAAGAATATACTTGCTGATGAAGAAAGAGCAAGCCTCTGCCTGCATTTCTGAGTCCTCCCTTTGCAATGGCTACCAGCGTGCCATCTTACTCCACTGACTCTCTCCAAACTGAAACCCAGCCGTGTGGGTGCGTTTTGGGTCACCCAAGCAGTTTGAACCTCCGATTCTAGCCAGCTGCAATATGCAGGAGACTGAGGAGGTCCTTGCACACTCTAGGGCGCAAGCTAAAACCCACACACCCCAAACGCCATGTGGTCACAGCTCTGGGTGTCGTTTGGGACTACAAACAGAAAGTACCGCACGACTGGGCTTAGGACACAGGCTGACAACACCGATGGCGGGCAAGTGACGCGGGGGCAGGCTGCGGAGACAGCAGAGACCACAGCCGGGGCGGAGGCCGCATCCGCGAACAGCCAGCGTGAGGCCCGCGATCTACCGGGAGCACCCGGGAGCACCCGGTACCACAACTGCGGACAGCCTCCACCGGCTACCGGGACCCGGCGCGCCTGCGCGCTTGAGGGGCGGTGCGCGAGGAGGCCTCCAGCCTTCCCGGCGTGCCCCGCGCCCACCATAGAGCGGAGGGCTGGCTCTGCCGCTCTCTTGGTCGCTCTCTTCCAGCGCAGCGCACCGTGTGTGGGAGGCGGCGCGGCTGCGGCGACATGGCGGGTGTGGGGCAGGATAGCGTTGCCGCCGCCGCCGAGGCGGAGCAGCACCTCAACGGCGAGCTGCCGCCGGAGCCTGAGGACAAGGACGGCGCTGAGGGCGGCGCGGCGGGGCTCGGCGCGGAGGATGGTGCCAAGAAGAAGCGCAAGAAAAAGAAAAAGGGCAAAGCGGGCCCCGCGGGTAGGGGCCGGGCCGCGCCGGGACCCTCCGCTGACAGGGCTGTTGGGCGGCCTGAGGGGGTTGCATGCCGGCAGAAGGGGCCTTGCACGCGGCAGCGGGTGGCTGTAGGTGGCCAGAATGTCCTGCCGTGCAGGGCACGGGTGGCGTGATGGGCGCCGCTGTCTCGGCCCGCGGCGGCTGTGTGGGCTGATGGGGATCCCTGGGCGAGGAGGGGGCTGGCGGGGCCGGGAGGATGCTGCAGCCGTTGCTGTTGCCGTTCAGCACCTGGGGAGCTGGTGTGAGGGAAGTCCTCCCTGCTCCTGTGCACGCAGGAGAAGCAACCCCTTCTCACCTCCTATGCCCTGAGGGGGAGAAGGGCGTAAGGCGGCTGCTGTAAAAGTCATCGCGCATGGTGGAGTCTCGGTACTCCTCCCTGCTTCTCTTGAGAGGGCTGGAGCAAGTCTGGGCAACTAGTGTAGAGGAACTACGGTTTGGGTTTGTTTTAGCATGCTAGCAGTTTGTGATGATCGTGCTGTGCCTTTATAATTATCTACTTCACGCCCATATTATCTCAGAAGAGCACGCGGCTGCGATGGCAGAAGGAGTTTGTTATCCAGGCAGGAAAAAAAGTAATCGGAAGTGTCTGGGTAATGTCTGAGTAATGCACAAGTTTCAGTAACAGTACCTGTCATTGTAACGCACTACAATGTTAGACATTGGATCTGCTTTAAAAATGAAAAAAAAAAAAAAAAGCGTCATATGTTCAGGTCTCTATAGGATGACTGCAGCATAATACTTTATAAGCTTTGGGGGCTGTTGTTTACTAATACGGAGCTATCCTTTTGCTGTAAGTCATACTTCAATTTTACAGGACAAGAAACAGATAAAGAAGTGGAAGGTGCTCTTGATGACGTAGCAAAACAATTGGATAAGCAAGCACTGGAGGAGAAAGAAAAAGATGATGATGATGAAGGCAAGTGTAACATCTTTCCCCTTGACATTTCCAGTTTCAGCTTCTTCCTCGACTTCTACTTAAACCTTTCACAGATGCCTTTTTTGTTTCTTCCCACATGGGAGAGGCAAGATGCAACTATATATACTTTTCACTGTTTCAGCAGCAGTTTAGCTGTGACACATGCATATGCCTGAAAAATAGCAGGTATAAAAGCTTTGTTAAATCTTGTTTTCAAGGATCTTCCTACTGAAGGGAAATGTTTAGTTTAAGCTAAAGTAAGCTATAAATCACCTTCACTGGGGTTACCATGGTCAGTATCAATTTATGTGCCAAATTACATCTCTTATTCTTGGCTTTGAAACAAAATATACAGTGAAAACTTTAAGGGAACATTTCAGTTAATAGAAGGTCTTAGAATCTTAATCTGTGACTTAAAACCTGTTCATCCATAGTCCTAATTTTTCATTAAAACTGAACTGGGGAGAGATTAATACATAAGTAAGGCATACACCTTGTGTGTTGCTTTCTCTGTGCAGCTGGTATTCTAAGCAGGTGCTTTGGAAGTGCCCAGTATTGCAGTACAGGCTGGATGCATCTTTTCTGTAGGAATATCAGATTAAGATTCTGTATTTACTGTTTTGATAGATGGTCCTCAATAGGAATGGACACTTAAGAAAATACATTTATTGTTAGTAATTTAGTTTCCTTCTTGTGAATTAGCATTTGAAGTTGGCTGAGCACCCTAAAGTGTTTCTTATTGTTCTGCTAAGAAGTCTTCTTAGTTGACTATTGCTGGAACTAGTAATTCCAGAATTTAGTAAATGAGATGTAGAATTAAAAAAACAAAACAAAAAAAAAACCCAACCAACCAAATTGTGGTGGAGTTGATTTATATATAGCATCCAGTTTTATGGAGTTACTTTCCATTGGAAGTATATTCTGATGCTTCATTTGTTTTGTGGTATATTTCAGGTTATGGAGTTCAAATGTAATTAATACAATGTGTGCTTTGCCATCACTGCAGATGGAGCAACAGGTATTGAGGAGGGTAGTGAAAATTTTATACCATGAAAAGAATTCTTGAGAGTTATTAGAATAGTTACAGTTCCATCTCAGGAGAAATAACATTGTTAGTCACAGATCAAGTCGTGTGCTCTTTTAACTTTTTTACAGTATTAGCAATTACCATTACAGTATTAGAAAGTATAGAAAAAAAGGTGGTGCTGTCGCTGAAATCTTGCTTTTTTTCCACACATTGGACTTGGATATGTTCTTAGAAAAACAGTGATATTTTTGCAGATAAGTAAAAATTGCTGGAAGTTGTGTTTTGGGGTTTTTTTTATGCAACTGTCTATTCTTGCCTGTATTGGTTCTTACCACTTGCCAACTTAATTGTGTAGTTTCAGATGTCTTGCTTGAGATATGGTTCTGCATTAGATTAAGACAATAAAATGCCTACACCTCCACACATCCCCCCCTTTTTTTTTCCTTGATAAGCCTATAACTGAGTGGTTTCAGAGATGAGACTGTGTATACCTTTTGAAATCTGGGAGAGATTAGGAAGGACTCTTCAGATTTCCATTGCAGTGTTAAAGCATGCTGATAGATAGCTTAATATCAGGTAAAAATGTTATTAAACAGCTATATCAAAATGGCATAAGGTTGGG